GAGAATTGGAGAAGCTTTCTCAGATGAAGAAATTGAGCACCTTTTTGAGTCGGTAGTTTCCAAGTCAGCAGGTGTTCTTAAATTTGAAAACTTTTTAGAGCTTCTCAAAGATAAAATATAAGCTTATTTTGTAAATCTTAAGAGTTTGAAATGTACAAATAAATTAAAACTAGAGAATGGAAAATGTCTAGATCTAGGAGTATTTGAATTGGTGAATTGACTCTATGGTTTAACATCAATGTTCTTCATGCTTTTTCTTGTTATCAAATACAATCTTGCTTAGTAGGTAGTCTACCAATTTTTGCAAATGTTTTTCATTAGTTCGAAGAGATTGAAGTGCGGCAACGTAGAGCGTACCAGAGTTCATATCTTTTACAAACACCTGAAATGAATTGTGTTTCTTTTTAACACTTGCAATGTTGAAATCCATGTGTGCAAGATCTTGCTCAGATACGGTCTGTATGTTTTTGGATTTCGAAGAGCGACTTGATGTATTTGGTGAAGAAGGCGTAGATGGTGAGGGATTTTTCTGTTTTTTAGAAGGTGGCTCTGGAATTTCAGGGTCGCTATCCACCTGTGTTTCACTGTCACTACTTTGGTCCTTAGAGGCTGATGCAATACTCTTTCCGCCAATGATCTTTTGGAAACGAATTCCATTTTCTGACTTGTATTTTGTGATTAGACTTCGTCTTACAGAGGTGTCTGGTTCCCATGTCTGCACAGGATAATTTTTCCATTGAACAAGATATTCCGTTTTGTTTTTAACTTTTCGAGAATCTGTAATTTTCTCTGGAAGAAACTCTGATTGTCCTTGTTTGTACTTTTTATCAAGAGTTGGAGCCACACGTTTCTCAAACTGTTCAATCATGTTTGAAATGTTTGAGAGATTCTCAGTTGGCTCCCATGTACTGTCCTTAACTGGCCATCCCTTCCATTTCACAAGATAATAGACCTTGTTTTGTTTTTTCTTTGAAAGAAGTATTGTTTCTACTTCATATTCTTGTTCATCTCCATCATCATCTTCGTAATCTTTTTTTTCCTCTTCTTTTTTCTTTTTTGTCTTATCAATCATTCTTCTGGTTGGTTTTTTCTTTTGAGAATTTGTTGTTGATGATCCTGCACTGTTTCTGGATGCTCCTCCTTCTTTTCGTGAAGCTTCCTCCTTGTCTCCCGAATCATCGTTATCATCACTCAATTCAGACATATTTGATTTTTTACGTTTTTTGCCGTTCCTCGTTTTCTTTGTAGTTCTTCCTTCATCATCTGTATGATCGGAGACTTTTTCGATATCACTGTTCATGTTCCTATCCTGACGATGGCTATCGGACAAAGAATCCTCCTCATCCAAGCTTGGAGATTGTGTTTTCATTTTTTTTTTTTTTATCACTGTCCATGCGTTTATTTGTTCGAAAATTCAAACGTTATTCATGGCTGTGTGTGCAATTAGTACAGTTAAAGGTGGTTCATGTCATCAAAGTTAGTGTAATTATTGTTGTAAATTTCAATTATTGTTTGTCATCAAGGTTAGTGTAAATTTCAAATATTGTTGTAAATTTCAATTATTATTCATGGTCGTGGGTATTTCATGTATAGTTTAAACTTGTTCAAATCAATGAAATTAGGATTAAAATCGTATTGTTGTTCAAATTCATTCCAGGTGAGTTTCAATTCTTCCATGAAAAAATGATTTCGTTTCATCCACATTTTAGTAATAGATCGATAAGCTTCCTTAGTAAATACTTTGTCCCATTTCTTACCCAATCCAACTTTAGCACCTGTTAGGCTATGGATATCTTGTTTAGTCTTGATGAGGTACAATAGTCGTTTGGAGAATTTCTTGTTATTCTTTGCATATATTGAGATATTATATAAATTCCTAAACATTTCTTTTCTTATATCACTATAGTATTTACATTCAAAAATAATGTGTTGCATTGTCTCTCTACTACAGCAAGGACATAGCAAGTTCGTCTTGGATATCTTGTTTAAATTTTCCAAAGTCTTCATCACGTTCATTCTAATTTTAAATATTAGATTTAAGGTTTTGAAACCGATTCCTATTGAGGGGTAAATGTTGGTGAACTTTCTGTTCTTGGGAGGAAGGTTCTTTGGCGTATATGTTCTTTTGTGGAGGCGTTGAAATAGAAGTTTGTACATTGTTTGTCTAGTGTTTTGAGTGTATAATACATTGTTGATAATAATATACCAATTATTGGATGGAATATTAGTAAGAATATTGTTACAATCAGCACCTTTCTTAGCAGCCCTATCTGCTAATTCATTTATGCGGCTATAGATATCTTGTTTACCTGTATGACTATTAACATGCATAATTTTGATCTGATCCTTCATTTTTAAATAATTACGAATTTCTTCAACATAAGGATCTCTAGATTTTCTGAATTGGAAAAGTTGGTCATAAATACTTTTCGCATCTATGACTATTGTTCTAGGAGTGTTGTTATCTAGCAATCTAACAACTGTGTGGAGCGCTTGAACTTCACTGTTGTAGGAAGTTCCTTGTCCTAAGGTGTGACTTGAGATGGAAACATTCTGATCAGTTACGATACCGTATCCAGCAATATTATTGTTACACGATCCGTCAGTACCAATTAGTGTAGCTTTGTTCAAGAGGTTTGACATGGATGTGTTGTTACCAACATATTTGTAGTATTTGCTTTCGTCTTTGATTTTTCCAAAATCCATGCTATTGAGAATGTTGCGAATTTGGGTGACATGATTGGAATGTTTGATGTCATTATGTAATTTCACTTGTAAATTTTTAGGGTCAGGAACCCACATACTTAATCTGTTCCAATCTTTATAGAGCAGGAATTGTCTTAAACCTTTAGGGAATTTTCCATAAGGGATGAGAGTTTTTTCATGCCATTGGTCACTCGAATGCCACAATCTAATATTGGAAGATTTGTTCATGAAAATTATTCTCTTGAGATATTGAGGAATCCATGGGTCTGGTTTATACCAAGTAGGGATTGGATCATTGAGGATGTCAAAACCATGCTCCTGTTTGATTCGTTCACAAAGGAATCTTGTAGAAGATCCAAGACAAATATCATATTGTTCAAGGAACTTTCTGACTTTACACATTAGGTCCGAGTAACTCATTTCTTGAACAGAAATTAATCCAAGTCCACCTTTGTCTTGATGAGTATAAAACCACTCGAGAGCTAATTTTCTCTTGGTTCTTAATCTTTCACATATAAAGTTGCGAAAGAATTTATCAATTTGTTTCTCTAGATGGTCATTAGCAAGAGGAATTAGGTGGTACAGTGCATACGGAACAATGTCTGTGTTGATAATTTTGACAATGTTCTGTATTGGAAAATTCCAGCCAATAGAGTTAGTTCTTCTTTTAACTTCTTCAATAATTGAAGTAGTGTATTTCTTTTGTTCCTCAGTATTATTGGTAATATTATTACCAAGTATAATAATAGAATCATTACTTTTGATCGTACTTCCAGATAATGTCTTGATACTACATTCCTTATCAGAGAAGAGGTTAGTTTTGGAATGATCTAATTCCATGTGATAGCCATGAAGATAGGTTTCAATGTCATGCAAAGAATTTTCAATTTCAGGTAGTTCGTTGGAAAATGAGTTCAAATCATCAATCCATGCGCCTGTACTAATGTTCCAATAATTTGCAACACTAGCACCATTATATGTTATTTCTAAAAATTGTAAGAGAGGCTCAAGCGCAATTTTGAATGCAAGGGGAGAGAAGGTGTCGCCTTGTTTCAATCCATCTTTCACATTGAAACATTCAGATTTACCATTAGGTATAACAAACTTTGTCGTAGATTCACCTAATATTTCCAGAATTCCATCAGCAGTAATTTCATCAATCCCTAAGAATAGCAGTCCATCACGAAGCATAATTCTCGGTAATGAGTCATAAGCTTTTTGATGTCAACAGCCAAACCATAAAAAGGTTTCTTGTCCTTTTTGCCCAAGCAATCATATTGTAAATTGAAAGGACTCTGTGAATAGTTTCTCTGCCGTCTTCACCACCAAATTGAGCTAATGATAATCTTCCCTTTAACACTTCCTTCAATCTTTTGGTGATTAATTTAGTAGCTATTTTAAGTCCTGAGTCCATAAGGGCAATAGGTCTATAGTTAGCAGGGTTTGAGTGGTCCTTATTCTTTTTGTGAATTGGGAGAATGCTGACACTTTGCATAGATTCAGGAGTAAATCCAGTTGTGATGATATTTTCAATAATTTGAAAAATTTCCTCCTGTAATTCCTTACACATGTATTTGATAGTTTTTTGTCTTAAACCTAGTTCATTGGGTGCTGTGGATTTCAAATTCTGAATTATCCATTCTTTCTCTTCCGTGGTAATTCTACCGAGTATTTTGTCATTGCAATTATCAATTAATGGATGTTTGTACTTGAAAAACTTGGTAATGTCAATTTGATGATTTCTTCCTCTAAAGTTGAGGTTTTGTTGATATTTGTCCTTGATCACATTGGCAACTTCATTGGGGTCACTAATTTCAGTTCCTTCGATAGATAATTTGTATGGTGGTGATGACGTTTTGTAAATTTTCTTTCTCAGATGTTTAGAGTTGGTTGCATAGTTTTGTTCCCACCATTTCATCTTTCTGTTCAAAGCCTTATCATGGCTCCATTTGATATGGTTCTTGATTTTCTCTTTGACACTTGCAAGACATTTTGGAACCTGTTCTAAAGTTTTACCAATAGTGGTCAAAAGTTTGTCACAAGGATATCCGTGCTCATTTCTATCAAGTATTAACATGAGCTTCTTATATTGCTTATTATATTTGTAGATTTTAGGATCAAGTTTAGGTGGATTGACCTCCACAAATTTGTCGCCTAGTTTATCACAAATGAAAAGCCATTTGTCGTTATCAGATTCTAAATTCTTAACTTGAGATACACATTCTTTGCTAATGGCCAGCACTTCTTTCTTATTTTTGGGATCTTGAAAGTTACGCTTCTTCCGAATTAACAAAGGTGTTCGTTGACATGAGAGGTCAAGTAGAATTTTAACCATTTTGTGATCTGATATGAAGTTGGCATTCAGTACTTCTCCAGATGCAATTGGAAAATCTGTGGATATGTAATCTATTATAGACTTGGATTGTTTGTTAATAGTATAATGAAGGTGCCATGATAAATGAGGAAAGGATAGTAATTAAGATTTCTCTTGTTAATAAGATCTAGTATGTTTTGATCAGTTCTTCTAGATTCGTTTGAGGAGTGATTCTCGGATAAAATCGCATTGTAATCACCTCCAATAATGATTTTGTAGTTAGGATATTTTTCAATTAGGTTGTCAAGAATATATGTGAATTCACATCTGTCAGCTGGTTGATTTGGAAAGTACGCAGAAATTACTAGAGTATTAATTGAATTGATTTTACATTTCACGCCAATAATTCGCGCGTTATTCTTAATGATCGGATCTAAGATGATTTCTTCAATATCTTTGAAAGTGCTTTTGTTGAGGCAAATAGATACACCACAGGAATCTCTTGGATTGTGATAATATGTAAATGAAGAATAATATATAGAGGGAAAATCTGGACCAATGTAGACGCTTTTAACTTCCTGGAGCATGATTATATCAGGAGTGATTGAGTTGAGGTAGCCTCTTAGGGCTGATAATGGTTCTGCTCTGAGACCATTAATGTTGAGGGTTAGAATAGATAATTCTGGAGCTACTGAAGTGAATCAAGTAGTTTTAGCTTTTTGTGACACTCATCAATTTCCTCTTGATATATCTTCCTCTTGGTATTATCTTTTGTACAACCAGACAGAAATGTTAGAGTAGCAATTCTATTGGTAATCATTAATTCTTCATTATTTGCTCTGATAATATTAGCCATTTCCTTAAATCCCATAGCCAATTTCTGATTAGATTGTGTTTTCATTTTTTCAATCTTATTTAAATAATCTTAACTGTTAATTTGTTTTTAATTTTTATATCTTTTACTGTACTGAGGTTCATGGTCTTCAGAATGACCATGGTGACCACCTTAGATATGTAATTAATAACCAAAGTAGTTGGGACAAATCAGAATGAGTAAAATTTCTTTACAGAGTTCTTTGAATTCGATCCATCCAATTTATTGGAATAGAGTTCTCCATTTGGTGCAAGCAACGCACTCCACACAGCAGACACATATCCATTCCATCCTTCAGTCCTTCTTCTTCTCTTGAGGTAGGATCAAAAGACTCTACACTATTAGTTTTACCTCAACTATTAATAATCGATTGAATTCGTTCTTAATTCTTCACTTGCCAGGTTTTTGGACCAAATAATTGTCAACAGAACTTCTAAAAATAAATTCCAAAAAAATTGAGAAACACCATGTCAACCCCAGTGAAGAGAAGGCTCATCAAAGACTTTAAGAAGATGTCCACGGATCCACCACAAGGAATCAGTGCAACTCCTAAGGATTCCGATATTATGGAATGGAATGCTGTTATATTTGGGTATGTTTTTATTTTGTGGGAGGATGAGTCTGAAAGTAATAATGATACTAACCAACACACCTTTTTGTTGTTGAATTGAAAATTCCTTATTATAATTTTCATTCATCATTCGAACAAATCTGAAACGAACTAACGGATTTAATATCAAATCATCGGACGATAATATTTCTTTTACAACATACATTTACAATGCACATTTGATCAATGATTATATGATAGTCCCGAAGATACTCCATGGGAAGGAGGTACATTTAAACTCAGTCTCTCGTTTAATGAAGATTATCCAAACAAACCACCAAAAGTGAAGTTCCTCACCAAAATGTTTCATCCAAATAGTATGTAATTTCCGTTATTCATTTTAATATATTCACTCACGTGATGATTCAATTCCTTTTCACAATAATATGATGTTCATTCGTTTTGATTAATTGAATTTTAATTTCGGAATATCATGTTGCACTGTTGAATCTTGAAGTTTATAATGATGGTCAAATTTGTTTGGATATTCTTCAAAATCAGTGGAGTCCTATTTATGACGTTGCTGCAATTTTAACCTCTATTCAAAGCTTGTTGACGGATCCAAATCCAAACTCACCTGCAAACAGCGAGGCTGCAAGACTTTACACTGAAAATAGAAAGCTTTATGAGAGAAGAGTGAAAGAAATGGTTGAAAAATCATGGCAAGAGGAAGGAGATGCTGCTGAAGAGGAAGAGGAGGAAGAATAGAGATCTACCAATGAAGTATTCGTAATTTCATTGTCACCATCTCAATAAGATGGCAATTTCATTACTTTCACAACACATGTATTTTAAAATGTTTTTAATGTGGAATGATTCCTCGCAGTGATAAACAAAATCATGCAATATCTCCAATTTTTTGAGTTCAAATTGGATCATCATGAGACTCTTACGCTTTTCATGAATAAACTGTTGCCTTATTCATAAACACGTGTTTTTCAAAGATCAGAGCACACGCGAGAATGAACAATTTGTAACCTTAAGTTTCCAAATTATTGTTGGACGTATACGAATGGATTCAATAACTGAACACACAAAAATGCTCCAACATCTCGTATCTTCATCGACGACCCATCTCCTGATCGTATTGGCCATCATGACTCTACTTTTTCTAATTGGATCCTATTTGTTGTTCAAAAAGTTAGCAAAAGCACAAACCACATTATGGAAGCTATCGGATTTTACTTTCATCTCAGCCGATGATTTAAATAGCGATCGATTCGGAATGAAGAACAAACAGAAAAAAGTTCAAGTCAATAATCCACTCTTTATACAACGACATAAGAACAAGGCTGAACAATATTCGGTTTTAAATGAACCTGATTTGGATTTGAGCATTATTCTTCCTGCCTACAAAGAAGAGAGTCGGATTCATGTCACTCTTCAAGACACTTTTCAATATCTCGAAAGGAAAATTGAGAAAAATCCACAATTTAGATGTGAAATGATGATTGTGGATGATGGAAGTACAGATAATACCATCGGAGTAGTTGTTGATTTTATGAAAGATTACATCAATAGAAATCCAAATATTGATATTCAATTATTAAGATTGATAAAAAAC